CTGTAGAGATGAATATTTCTTATTCCTTTACCCATTCATTCCTTGTTGAAACCCTTTTTTTCTTCGTCATTTTATCCTCCTTTCTAAATGCTTATTTTTTATTCCTACATTTTTTTGCCCTCCATCTTTCAAGTTTGTCTTGAGCTTCTCAGTTAAATATCCACTTTTGCCTATCTGTTTATTTGTTTTCCTTCCAATATCATCCATTTTCCATGCATTCCCATTTAAATAATTCAATAACCTCACCCTTTCAATCACACTCTTTACAATCTTTATGTTACTCCATTGTCAATCCTTGCCTTTAGTTTACTTTTTTTTCATCATCCAATTATCAGATATCAGCATGATATCTCTTCATTTCCAGTGTATAACTTACAGAGTTAATGATGACGATTTCATGTGGCAGTATTTTTTCATTCAGTTATTGTTGATATTTTTTTCCTTCGCCAACTTCAAACCTCTAAACCCATTCATTGGCAACAATTTGGTAAACTTGAGTATTTTCATCTTCCAAAACAATGTTGCCTCACAATCAATTGAAAGTGTTGACAATTAGCCAAGTGTGTCTACTGGAAACATGGAAATACATAACTTTTTGTCAACATTTTTTATGTTACTAATGGTATGATAGGAGCCTTCATCCATTAACCCAAACCCAATCATTATAATTATTTAACATGATTCAATAATAGCGTTTACTTTTCTTTGTTTTCATCTTCATTCCTCTCTCAACAGCCAATACAAATTAATTGCATTCCCAAACGTTAATTAAATTAGGCATTCCTAGTTTTATTAATTGTACGAGTTTGAGTCGATCCATTTGATTGTTAACCACCTTAACCATTCAACTTGTCTTATAGTTTATCTTTTTCCATCATCTTTCCATTTTTTCTGCTTCCATCCCCTGTATTTCCATTTTTATCCTGCTTTTTCTGCTTGCCTCCCAGTTGATATCTTATCGATCAAACAAGTGATTGTTATTAGAAAGCAAATTTGGCAGAATGCGTAAACGTTGAGCTTAATAGGCAATGTTTCAACTTGCCAGCAATTATAATGATTGTTATGATTATGATAATCAGAATCAATTGAAGGTTCACACACAATGTAATACATTAACAACTTTAATACATTCAATTGGATCAATAGATGGAACCTTAAATATCCAGTTAATGACATTTTGGAGACACATCTAAGACTACAGAACCAGCCAGATATTGATGATTCCCTGATGAGGATAAGCATTGCTATTACGCTTATCTTGATGGTTAACTCTTTTTTTCTTCTTCTTCTTCGCAACTTTTTTTCTTGCATTCAATTAGTAGACCAAATCAATGTTATCCAATCAATTTGAGGGTTAACGAAATACCAGGGAAAAAAAGACAGAATCAAATTCAAAAGCCAATAACCCAAAAAATCATTGATTGATACACAACGAAAGTCTTCTATCTTAATCTAATACATCAAAACAAGTTGTGTAAACTTGCTATCTTGATCAAGCCATCAAAGCACAATTTGTTGTTCAATGTAAACACCAGTAAAAATAAGTTAAATATTAACAGTTAATCAACTAGGAAAAAGGAGAAGAAGAAGAATAAAAAAAGCCTCAAACTTTGGCCTGGAAAAAAAGAGGTAAGGTTACTTTTCGCTTTTTTGCCTTCATTGAAAGTCTTTTTCTCGTTAGATTTTTTTCGTTCATCAATATTGAAAGTTTTTCCTTTTCTCATTCTTCTAGACAAAAAAAAGTAAAAGTTGATATTTATCAAGATGATGAAAACAGCCAAAAAATCCATGGATGGAGCAAGAAGGAGGAAAAAAGCTGTGTAAAGATGAATGGGAAACCTTGAAGAATCTTGATCAACAATGGAAAGTGAATGGAGCGAAATTTGTTATAACATATTGTCTGTCTGGTTATAAGTTTTTTGTTCCTGTTGTCTCTCCCTGATACTCATGATGTGCATGTGTGTTATAAATATATAATCACTTAAACAATCAAATGATATGGTGTAAAAAAAAGAGTTGAAGACAAAGAGGAAAAAACGAAATATCAGGAGATGATGTAAAGGGTGATGATAAGAAGTAAAGAAATGGAAATAATATGGAAGGATAAAGGCATGATAAAGGTTGGTTCTGTTCCATCAACGGCAGCTGAATTATATTGTTGTGTATTTCCATGATGAAGCCAAGATGAACATGATGAATTGCTTACTTGTCAACTTAATTCTTTCCATGGGCTGGTCTCACACACTTAACAATATACATACATATAATATTCTCGAGTCCATCAAACTTTTCTCCATGTTACTAATGATTCCGTCAACGTCTTGTCAAATTGAAAGAAATTTTTTCTCTTCTTCTTCTTCATGTTCCAAGGTCTAACAAGGATAAAGATTATGATGAGCAACGATGAAGCAAAATATGTTGATGATGATCAAAGAGGGGAGACAAAAGGTTGAATATAAAGCCAGTGGAATAAAGGGAGGAAAGATGATGAAAATGATAATGTTGCTTGTCATGAGAAGGGAATGTTGCAAGTTTTTACATTTATCTGTTGTCCATGAAATTCAATCCATCTAGATCAATATTGACAGTAACATTTGCCGATGAAAATTTTGAACACAAAAAATTAACCAAAGACTAGAAAAGGTTTGACATGTTGCTTATTTTTTCTTCATCAACATCAACACTCTTCCCATTATTATTTTCAAATCTTTATGTAAATTGCATTCTTCATCATGTTTCCCATGAATATCTAGACTTTTTTTCAACACATTTATTAGGCAGCTGGTTATGCCAATCATTGAGGTTTATTGATAAAATCATGAGACTTGTATGCATTAGTAAATTCATTATACATTAGTTTATTGTGATTCAATTGAGATATTTGGTCAAAGTAATCTGATGTTGATGTTCATTTTAAAAATTGATTTGTCCAAAAATTTAATGTTCAACTTGAAATACAATATCTTGGGCTTTGAAAATTGAGTTGAATTGCCTAATTATAAAAGCTACTTGGACAATTTATTAGCCCATTAATGTCTAATGTCTGCTAGTTTAAAGTGATCCTAATCGATTTTGATCATTTCCAGTTTTTACTTTTTCATGAATTTTGATTGAGCTTTTATATGATGGCGATATTAAGTTATTAATGATAAACTGTTTCAACCAGTTGATGAACAGTTTATCAACTTTTGGACCAGCTTTCATTTTCATTTCATTTACTGTTAACAATTTATTATTACCTTGGAAAGTAATTTCAACATTTTGTTTTTTTCTCCTTTTTTTGATACTTCTGTCCAGGTAACCGTTACTGTCAAGTGCAAACAAACAAATAACAGGGAAAAAAGGAGCCAAAAGATGAGCAGGAGGAAAAGGAGCTGAAAGATGATGATGACGATGAAAAGGATGAAATGAAAGACAGGAATATCTTGAAAGGCGAGACTAATATTGATGATGAAAAGAATCAAAGTGTTAATGGAATTGAGCTGAAGAAAAAGGAAAGAGTTGAAAAGAAGGATTTTTTCATCTTCTTCTTCAAGACGAAAGTTGAAACGAAACTGACGAAAGAGTAAAAAGTGAAAGGATGAAAAACAAGAGTTAACTCTGTTGGATGCGAAGAGGAAAGATTTTCACTCACTCACTCATCATCATTATCATCATCGTCTTTTACTCCTTGGGATTGTTTACAATATAATAGATATTTACCCTGAAGAAGAGTTTCTTTTGAATTTATCATATACTTCTTTTTTTTCTTCACTTCTTTCGGTGTGATTCATGAGAGAGCCCCTGATGAGATTGGGAACAGATTCTCACCATTTGAAAAGCTCTCTAAATTCAATCTCATCATCATCAGATTTCACTCTCTCATCATTTTCTTGTTCACCATGGAAACTTAGTTGAAACCAATGACAATCATTGAATAGCAACCAAGTGAAATAATCTTCTCTCTCCGGTAATATACTTTCAATTTTCACTATTATATTGCCTTTTTTCATCAACCTCCTCCTCATCTTATCATCATCTTTGATTTTCTTTTTTTCTTCCAAAAACAAGTTTCTTTTATAATTTCTCAATTTCATTCTTTACAACAGAATGTAATGAGAAAAGAATATCTTCCAAAATTTTAAGGGATAAACACTGTTGATTTACTAACATATTATTCAACACAAAAAAAAGTATTAAAACCTTTTTTTTCTTGCTTCTTCCATGAAATGGTTTTAATTAAATCACAAGCTTCGCTGTCATCATTTTCGGATCCTTTTTCTTTCATTTGCTTTCATTGCAAAGTCAACAGGCTGATTCTGGTTCTCATCCTAAGTAGATAAATCTAAATCAAATATTAACTAAATTTTATAAAATCTAAATCAAATTGAAAATTGTAAGTAACAAGATTAAAGGTAAATAGTTACCAATTTTGTTAACAGAAAGTCAATGGTAAAATTGAATCTCATCTAGACAAGATAATTACATTGTATATATACAATAATATATACACATGAAAGTAAATTCAACCCAATATTATAAATAATTTATATCAACTGAAAATTTGAAAGCAGTTGAAATGAAAAAAAGGTAAAAAATAAGGTAAAAACTGGCAATAGTTTGGAAAATATAATCAATTAAATATCGCGCTTCTTACAGCATAACCTAGTGTCGTCATAATGACATTACATTTTCTTGAAGTTTTTTTAATATTTCTTCGTTTCTTTTTATTTTTCATGCTTTTATTCTCATGGTGATTCTGATGGAAACTCAATTGATTGAACCAATTCATTCATACACACAAACAATGGTATTACTGGCAATTTCCGTTTTTATTGTTCCATTGGATGAATCTGTAAAAACTTGTAATATATGGTAATTGGTTGAACATACCATGCAACACCAATACAAACCTTATGGATGTTACATCTTTATACACTGGTTCACTGATTTTTTTCTTGTCTGGTCGTCTTTCCACTTTGCTTCTGGACCTGTTATTCCGTGGTTTTTCATGTTATTAGTGGACAACAGTAGCCCATGAAATTGGTCATGTTATTGGATTTTTTCATGAACAATCACGAAGTGATCGGGACAAGGCAATTCACATAAATTGGGAAAACGTTGAGAAAGGATTTTATCTTCAATTCCAGAAAGAGGAAGATGAAAACTTTGGTGTTCCATATGATTATACATCTGTAATGCAATATCCTTCATGGGTATGTATTACTTGTATTTGGATGTGTGTGTCCCTATTAATAACATCTTCATCACCATCACCATCATCTTGAAGCCACCTCAGTTGATTTTTACCTCAAATTACAAGACGGAATAGCATTTTTTCCTTGCCTACATTTTTCCCCTCAATTACATGTTACTACTTATGTCTATTATTATTTTTATTATTTGACATTTTGGTTATACTAAACCTTTCCTTTTCTTGCGTTCATCTTCCTCATCATTCTCATAATACTTCAGCTAAAAATCAGATGATTGAGAGATTCAGCTTTTAATGTTATGTATTTATACGTTTTGCTTTCACTTGCTATTTCCTTCAAGTATTATGTTGCTTTCACATTTTTGGCTTTTTTTATTATATTTATTTATTTATTCCTAATCATTATCATGTTAACTGTACACATTTCAATGAAAATGATAGTTCAATGATTATTATTATTGCCTGTCAATTTGTGAATGGTACAGTCCATGACAAAAGTTTATCCTCTTTGATTTTCCCCATTTTCTGGTGATTCACTGTTGATTGACTTTGTGCAGTATAAATTTAAACCAATTCACTCCAAAAAAACTGGAAAATTGAACTGAATAGTTTGTCTAAATTAGTTATCAATGTTTTAATGCCTTTGATAATGGCAAACTAAGATTTAATCAATTGATGAACCAACCTTCTGTATAATTTTGACCATTAATTCAACAACTTTTTCAACAAACCATTTGAAATAGCAAAAAAAATCAGTAGCCAATCTGTAGTTCAATCTCTAATCCACTAATAGATTCAAATCAACATCTCTTTACCTTGATAATTATTAATTTACTCCGAAACTGATTCGGTCATTGATTTTGATTCACATTTAAGCTATTTAAGATCTTATTAAAATCTGACTCGAATCTAATCAGCTGTATGATGGTGGAAACACCATAAAGATCAACTTTGCACAATAATCAATAATCTTTTGACGGTAATTTGATTTTTTGTCTTTTCCAAACAGCAAAATCAAATGCTACATAAATGATCAGTTTAAAGCTATTGATTTTTTATTGTTTTGATTGCTCACAAATATTGGTTAAATAAAAAAGAGTCAGAGAAATTTGAACGTAAAAACTACCAGAATATTGATGATAACGAGGACAGAATTTAATGTAAATCTATTTTATTTTACTATTTTCTGGTTCCTCTCAATTTTAGTGCAACAATATAAACCATCATAAATTACAATTATGATTGGGTTAAGGTTTTTTTTAATTCAATTGTAATCCAATTGATTTGCGATTCAAAAAAAACCGCAAACATTCAATCGACAATAGAGAAACTGTGAATCAAATTTGAATGACATTTATTAACAGGTTAATGTTTGCTTTCAATTGTAATTCAACCAAGAATAAAAACGTTATTTACTTTTGTTTATACGTGATTCTATTGAACAATTGATCTATTAACAGTCATCAATTGAAATGCTAATACTTACAACTTTAGATTATTATATTTGTTAGTTATAATCGTTACCTTTCAGTGCAACTGAAAAGGATTGAGTTTTGCGCGTTTCGAGGCGCATAATGGTTGCTATGATACCCAAAAACCGTTGAAAAGTTTAATAAAGGTTCAAATTAATGCTATTATCAAGACTATCACAGTCTCGACGTTGAAATGGCTTTTTATCAGGATTTCATGAGAAATATGTATTCTTTGTGGCCAAACACACCAGACAAAAAAGGATAACAATAGGAACAGTTGAAAAGTAAATGGTCAAAACCAGATTATTGTGATTGCTGTTGTTGTTTTTTTGTCAACCAACAACTAAACTTACGATTTGTTGTTGATTATCCAATTTAACAATGGATCTCAAAAAAATGTTACACAAGTAAGTTTATTCTGTTCACACACATTTAAGGTCAACTTGACCAAGACAAACTCAATTTAATAACAGTTATATACCTTTATCTTTTTAGATTGCTATTGGACTGATTTGGATTTAGTTTATTTCTTGGTTTCCCTGTTTCCATGTTTATGCTTATCTGGTTTCAAACAAACATTCATTACATTACACACAAACACACACTCACACACGAAAGGCTAACAACCAGAATAACTCCTGAGACTTGGTTGTTAGATTATTGGTTAACTTTTATTTTTTGGTGTTTTACGTTTTTGTTTTTTTGGCTTTGGCTTCAGTTTTGGATTTAACTTTGGCTTTGGACTTGATCTTTGTAATATTTGTCTCCTCACCATTTTGTACGTGGTTTGCCTTTGAAATTTAATCTACTCATGCAAAAGATTGGACAACTTTTACTGATCTTGATTTTGGTTTTGTGGCTGTTGATGTTTTTTATGGTTTAACAGTAACCTTACGAACGTTGGATTTTATTGATATTGTTCAGGATCCTCTAACATGACAAACACTTTGCCTTTATTATTGATTTTCTTCATCATAATCAACATTTATGAAAGCAGTGATGGAAAAGCAAAAAGGAACCAAAGCAAGAAAAGATTGATTCAGAGAAGAGATAAATAATCAGGACGAATTTCATGTACCATTGACAGTGATGATCAAGTTTCTGCTTTTTCCCAATGAATATCATTGTAATTATTGGATTGCAATGTTAACATTGTACTTGATGTTAGATCATGACAAATGTTCAACTCTCTTTTCAAACATTATGTTCTCATCTTTTGATTTTCATGTGACAACCAAGAGAATCTTGATTTGTATCATTTAACCAATTCAACAGATAATAGTAATCAAAGAAAGTCTCAGAAATGTTGGATTTTTCTGGGCTTTAATCTTTAATCAACAACAAAGGTTATAATCTCTACGTCAATCCAGGAGTAATCATTTGGGTTTTCAAATTAATTCTTGGATTGAATTAGTTTGCCACTTGTCTCTATTTGGTCGCACCGGATTTAACTTCACTGTAATCTGTTTCTAATCAGTGAAACTAAATCACAGTCAACGTTGAGAAGGTTCATCAAGAAAAGATGTCTATTTAGAAGCTGAAACAATTTTCTGGTTTCTTATATTATCATTTAAATAATTAATGTTCATCAGTTGTCAACCATTTGTTTTTCACTGTTAACTCATTTAATTTTCAAATGTGCTTCATACTGTTGACAAGGTTAATCTTACAGTTTAGATCCATTACAATTGAACCTTACCTTGTCTTGAAGAGCACAATCAATCCTAATGCCAACAGGATGAGATTAACATGAGTAAACTGCCTTTAATCATCAATTAATTCTGTTTAATTCCCATGTCAATATCATGATTAGCATCCTAAACAGGTGTATTAGTGTGATTGTTATGATTAAATGAGAGTAAAGCTGAAAAAAATCGAGAAAAGTAGCAAAGCAAGCTTTAAGTATGCGTATTGAGTTGAGGGAAAAAAACACAATTAATTTAAGTAAATTATGACAGTCTTGATTGTTGTTTGTATATTAATTTGTACGCCTTTTTGCCTTTCACCTCTCTCCATCCAATCAACTCTTAATCAATTTACTGTTGAGATAATTGTATAACCTTAAATTACTAATGTGTGTCTTGTATATGAATTAATTGTTGCCACTTCTAGTCTTTTGTTTTCTCCAATTTCATTTCACTCGCAAAAATCTTTAAATGATTTTGCCTTTTCTTAATCATTAACTTAATGTAATTTATTGAATCCAATTCACAGGCAAGTTTCGCCTTCATCATTCATTGTACAATTGAATTTGATTGTTTTTGTCTTCCATTCCCATGTTTCTCTCATCATCATCATTTTTATTTGTCTTCTAACTGTAAACATACACACTCACATCATTATTATTATATCAACTCATTTCTCTTGTTAGATTGTTAAAATAATAATATTTATTATTATTGCTATTATAATCATCTTTTTGTTTATTATTTACTTTGATTGTTGATGAAAGGCTTTCAGTAAAGATGTGCTCAATAAGAACACGATTGTAACAATGGATCCAAAATACCAGCGAATCTTGGGAATCAATCGAGGCCTGACTTTCCGTGATAAGAAGATGGTTAATCATTTATATTCGTGTGATCGTAAGTTAACATTATCATTATTAAAAAACAAAACTCAATTATTTTACCTTCAAATTTTGTCAAATGTTGGGTCAAAGTAAACAGCCAACACTGAACCCATCAATAATGTAAAAGTTGCAGGTGAGAGGTTAAAAAAGGGTTTCATGGTTAATCAAAAAATCACAGATCAATCATTTAAAACGAGTCAACCTTTTACCATCTCATTACACTTGAATATGATTAGATGATATCACTAGACTTTTCATCTTCACTTGCACATTTGAACGAAATGACCAAATGCTGGTCAACAGCAAATGAAAATATTTACGTTTTTATGTCAAATTTACTTTTCCTTTTTTCTCACCTTTTGTCAATAACAAATCCTAAATCCTTTGAGTCCCATCAAGTTGAAAAGTCTTTAAAAGTCATCCTCTGTTTGTGGTTAGTTTTTGTTGAAAAGATAAAAGTAAATCATCATTATTATCATGATTATTACAATAAAGTGATACCCAAAACGAATCAACCTCAATTCCTTGCTTTACGATGTTGGTTAAAAAGCAACTTCTCTCGTAAAAATTGTTATTACATTCAAAGTTGGCCTTTTGTTGAACACTTTTTTCTTCCTGGTTTCTTCTCATTCTGTGAAGATATATTTTTTTTCCTTTCCTCATTTCTTACTGATTATGAATAATTCATATCATGGTAAGATAAATGTTTCTCTATTATAATATTTATTTTTACGTTTACAGTTTTGCTTTTTTCTCTCACTTCTTTGTAGCTTGTTAATATAAAGATTTCAATTCTTTTAATGATGTTGATTCATAATCACCAGAATTACTTCTTACCCTTTTTACCAACATTCAAAGTTAATTGGTTATCATTTTTTCCCTTATGCCTTTCCTCAGCATCGGCTGTCTATTTTAATTGATTCAGTTTCCTCCTTAAACATCAACATCAGTCTCTTAATTCAGTGATTAGTCCAGTTGAATATAAATTGAACTCAGTGACTATTCAAGATTTATTCACAAATTTTGTAAATCAATGTGTCGATACTGACAGAACAGTTAATTTGATCAGCATTGATTTCACTTTAGTTGTTACATGAAATGTTCATGTTGATGGAGTTATTGAGCTTACTCAGCGATTCAACGAATGGATTCTGGATTAGTTGTGATTATAAAAATTTGTTTTGTTCACTGTAATTGTCTTTTTAAATGTTTCCAATTGGAAAATGTTTATGAGTAAATTTTGATAATCTGTTGTTAGATACCATTAGATGATTCAATTGCCAAGTAAATTGATTGAAAAGAGACAAAAGACAAGATTTTTTTACTGAATCTGGGAAACATTATTGTCTCTTCTCCTGTTTCCCCTGTAAACTCCAACACCATAATCCATTATGAAGATGTTGTAGTTCAGGACAAAAGGTAGATTATAAGACAAACTTAAGTGTAACAGTTAACAGTTATTATTTTATATTGTTGTTGATGTTGAAAATAAACATTGAATGTAGATAATAAAGTTTGTCATCTCAAGAGCAACAACACGAAAAAACAGGGAAAACTAAAGTTAATGGTGAGCTTGGAACAATAATATTAATAGAATCAAACAGTAGAGATTGGTGAAGATGGAACAAGTTCCAAGTTAATTTGAAAGGTTGAGTTTGAATCTTGTAAAATGGTTAACTGTAAAAGTAGAAAGAAAAGGCGGAATTGGGTAAAAACATTGAAATCAATACCTAATTTAACTTGCCTTTTAACCTTCCTCTTCATTCATTGAAACTATTTTAATCACCGAATATAAGAAACCCAGCATTTAGCGCAATAATAAACCTTTCAAGAAAATTAAAATTCGTCATTCCATTTGTATCTGAATATACAGTTGATAGCAAAATTTTTAGTATTAATATTACGTTTGAATCTTCATGTAAGTTATACTAAAGCTAAGATTCTGATGAAACCTTCTGTATTTGTCGGTTCAGAGAAACCTATCAAAATGGGTTTTGTGTCGGAAAACATTTGTTGAAGTCATTTGAAGTTGATTTTGTCTCTGATTTCGTTAAAAGCTTGAAATTTTAACCATTGGTTTTAATTTAATGAAAAATGAAATTTTGATTAATTTAAATAATTTTCTCTCTTTTACTTCTTTAGGTGATTGCCATAACCTTTCTGAATATCAATGTTTAAATGGTGGCTACTTGAAACCTGGTAAAGCTGGTGAAAACTGTACATGTGAATGTCCACCTAATACTAATGGATCATCTTGTCAAAATGTGATTACCTCAGATTATTATGAGCCTCTGTTTCCTCTTCCATGTGGTGGAAATGTCACACTTCCGGGTTATATATCAACACCAGGTTACCCAGGACGTCGTAATCCTCATGAAAGCTGTGTCTGGGATATTCAAGTAATGATCATTTAAACATGTCATTCATCTAAACACTAATCAGAAGGCAGTTGTTGACTTAATTAGTAGAAACGTTTGGTCAATTCGATTGATTGAAATGTTAATTTTATTTACAGAACTAAATATTTCACTGAATCTTTGATAAATTTTTGATTATAATCATTGAAACAATATTTTGATCAATGGTTTTTAAATTTGTTTTAACTATTTAAGCATCAACTGCTGCCATCTAACATTAGCTATTAGACTATTTGCTTATCATAATGACAATGTCTTTAGTAAAGCATTTGATATTATTTGTTAACAACAAATTTGACTGTAAACATTTTAAACATTTGTTAACTGTTTCTCTTTTGTATTAGGCACCATTGGGTATTCGAGTCGAGCTTGAAATTTTGGACTTTGATTTTGCCCCTCGATCAAAATCTTTAAACAAAAGATTATTTGGTAAATGTGTCAATGAATCGGTTGAGATCAGAGTAAAAGATGATTATCACGGTGAAATATATTGTGGAACTGATTTGGAGCCAGGAAACAAACTCATTTCGGAGAAAAATCGACTTCTTATCATGATTAACGCAGACAATTCAATGACTGGTAAAGGTTTTAAAGCCAATGTGCGTTTTATTGGAAAAAATGGCGAAAATTCAATCATTCCATCAACAACCTATCCTCCAATCAAAGCAACATCAAACCCACCTTTTATCCCTGAACCAAAAAACACAACACCAAAACCCTTTTCAACTACAACAATAGTACCTAAAGTGAATAAAATCAACGAGATAACATTCAAACCCAAAGATATTGAAGAAATATGGAACAGAATCAAAAGTATTCAACAGGGAAAAATTGTTAAAGTAATTAAACCAAAAGTGGGTCCAAAAATTTGAGATCCAATAATGAGCATTCATTTTCATCTACACCAATTTTTCACGTCTCGATACAGACACATTTTGATACTTTTTGTACCTGATGATTTTCCATTAAATTAATAATTTCAATAAATTGACTTCTAATTCAATCATGTATTCAGTGTTCATTTATTTTCACCAATCAAACCATACGTTCCAATAGTTGAAGCTATCAATAGATGGCGTAACAAGTTTCCTTCAATCTTGAAACAAAAACGGTTAAAGGAGTCAAAAAGAGTTGCAAGTTTAAATGATTATTTTGGGTTCAGTTCATATATCAATGAGCCATGAGTATGTTTCAATGAAAAAAAGTGTCTTTCAATGAATCATTTCACAATTTCACAACTTTGAATTGAACAAAACTTCAAGTGATTCCTTGTCATGTTAAACTTCAACATTTAACCATAACGTGAATAAAAAGTAAGCTTTTTTTTGTTTGCCATCAAATTCAACCCAAATTGTTGTATCTTTTCATGAGTATCGTTTATTGATTGTTTAATATAAATCATGTTTTCTCACAAAAATGACCAGTTCAAGCAAACTAATTACATTTTAAATCATCGTGAATCGTGTTTCAATAGGAATAACCCAATCAGTGTGCCTCTCATCATAATAACATAATTTTTTGTACCAATGTTGAAAACATTCACTTGTCTAACTGTCTATTGAGCTCTAAAAAATTCCAATCACAATTACAGTTCACTCCAATGGGATTAATATTGATCAACTGTACAACCCTTTTAATGGTGTAAAACTGTTTTTATTTCAACATCATTTTCATCTTCTTCATTCGGACTTTTCATTTGATTGTCGGCTAAAAGTACCAAAGACAAGTTAAAACAAAATCAATCATGGCGATGAAACGACAATCATTTATGAACAATGGCCGGTCTATTAATGGAGCTGACCTGTTGTCTGGTTATCATCATATTCAGCCCTTTGCTAATCACACCTTTACATATGGTTCATCTTATGCCCGTGGTCATGATGCTGCTGTACTGGCCACTTCATTACACTGGAATCGTGACATTAAATCAACAGCTACCATTAACCGATCACCATCTTCATCCAACAACCTTGTAGGCTCAGCTAATGGTCATCACCATTTGCAGCATCAACATCATCAACAGCAACAACATCATAACCAGTCAACTCATCATCCTAATCACCATCACTCAAACCTCATCGTACCTTCATCAACTCATCATCAACACCATTTAACCAATGAACTGGTTCCAGGTATTAATAAAACATTTTCACCCGACAATCCAATGATACGAACAATTGGACAACACTATTACCCAGAAGGTGGCTGGGGCTGGATCATCTCCGTGTGTTCATCGCTCTGTTACTTCATCACTTCAGCTCTTTTTCCGTCTCACAGTTTTCTTATTCTCGACATTATGAGAACATTTAAGCCCGATGAAGGTATTTTAGCGGCAGGTAAGCTCATTTCGAGTGCAAACTGTGAAAATGGTTTTTTACTTTACCTCCAAAATTTGGGTAAACATTTTGTGGATTCAATTTTACTCGTAAAACATAATTCATATTTTACCATTTTTCAGTGGTTCAAAGTTCAACACTTTCCTGGTTCATTGCATGGTATCATTTGAGCTATTCATGACACCATGATTTGTCCATTCAATGGTGAATGATGAGAAATGTCGAGTTTGTCAAATTTCTCAGGTTTTTGTTTTTCTCCTTTTCTCTTCATTTTTTCAGTCTTTATGATTATTACAGTTTCGCACAATTTAAACTTGTAGTATTTTTATCCTCATTTTGTTGTGATTTTTGTTTATAAACAATCAGATGAATCTAAAAATTTGCTCAGTTTCATGATACAGTTAATTAATTGAGAAAATCTGATGGAAAAATGTTTGCCCTTTTCAGACTTTTCTGGTTCACTCAACTTGAGATACAATATAAATGTTTGAACAAAGATTTCTCATTTAACCGGTCACAAAGAAATTAATTGATCATTTCAATTGAATCCAATTGATTTCATGATATTACCCATTTACTTATATTTGAGTCGATCAAAGAAGAAGCAAAAAATTTCAACTTTTAAAGACGATATTTCTCACCAATTTACTAATTATATTGAACCAGATAATTGAACCAAGTAAAGTTGGCGAACCAAAGGAAAATGGGAAAATCTTTCAATATTGGAAAAGCTTATCATCCAAAAGCTTATCAATGAGTGAAATTAATTTTCAAGACGAGTTTAAATGCTCATTTTTTCAATGGAATTTTCATGATTTTCTCGATTTTCACGCCATCCAAATGTAACTTGATTTCAAGTAGCAAAACCGTTGATTCTGTTGCCTGTAAATTCAATCAATCAAAGGTTTTGAATTACATTTGACTGTCATCTGAGACTCATTCTCTAGCAACTTATGGACGATAAAAAGTAAGAAGAGCAAGAAAAATTGTCCATTCAAATGTTGATATCAAATTCAGACTCAAGGTAAATCGATGACCAAGTTAGAGAAAAAAAAGTCGAAAAACATTGACAGAAATATGTTATGAAAATGTGAAAGTCATTGATGAATCGATGAAAAAAGAACAAAATTGAAACCGAAAATGAAATGCTTTGAAATTGTCAAACTGACCTGAATAGCCCAAGAAAAGAAGACTAGAAAATATTTGACCAACTAAGAGTTAAACTTGTATTGTGAAGATTCAACTTGAAGAAATTAAAAAAGTCAAAAATGGGAAAAGAAATTGAGAAAATAATTAATAGAGAAATTAATTTTTACCATTTTTTCATCTCTTCACCATCTACATTTGACCATTAAAAGTATTGGCCAAAAGGTCAATGAATTGTAAATTGTTGATCTCTGTTACTCCTTTTCAGTTTATCTCAATTTCACTCCCAGTCTAACTTATGATGATTACTTTACCGATTTTCATCTTTTGTCAGTTTCCATATTTATTAAGATTAACCATCATCAGTTTGATATTATTTTTGCCTGTTGGAGATTCAATTCAGAGTAAATAATGTGAGAACTGGAAAAACTGTTTTCCTTATTATTGATTTCATCCATTTGATTATTATTTACTTATTGCACTTTTACCAGAAAATCAAATATCAATCCAAACCAGAATGGGTCAACATAAATATTATTGTACACTCGATTCAATAGCAATTAATAACCAATGTCAAGTATTAATTCAATTAATATAACCATTTATCAATAACAATTTAACTCTAAAAATGAAACAGTCAACAAGATTCAACTGTTCACTTTGAATTACAAAATAACCATTCAAGTTGAACAGACTTTGATCAATCTTTGGGTTCATTTTGAAAATGTTTAAAGTTTGAGGACAAATTTTTTAAGTAAAAACTTGTGTTCATTTACATATGAAAATCAGTTCATTTCCAGGAATCCAAACAGTTTCTAACTTTAGCTTTCTCTTCGCGAAACTAGGCTATAATGATAATAATACATTTTATCAATAAGTTAAAGGATGAAGAGAGGAGAAGAGGAAAGATGAGGAGAAAGCAAGATGATAATGATGGCGAATGAAAGATACAAATGAAAGATTCAATGAAATGATGTTCACTGTAATCTTTTATCGTTTCATCCGCCTCTTTCGCTTCATCTTCATCTTGCTGCATAATACATCTGATGTGTCTGTGTATCGTATTGTAGCCCATAGGCAATGAGATAAAAGCCTTTTGGTTGACTTGAAGGTCAATGCCTTTTCCATTGATTCCTTTTCTTAGGCCTGATGATGATCATTATCTTCCTTCATCTTCTTCTTCTCTCTGGTCTATGCATACACAGAATGTTTATATTACATCTTCTTTTCATCTTTCGTCTCATGTAACACACAGAAAATACTTTTCATGTAAAACTTGTGAGCTTTTTGAGTTCCTGTTTCTTTCTTGTTCAGTTTCATCAGTTTTTATCTCTTTTTATATCTTTTTGTATTATTGAACAATTGCTGGTAATAATAATAGTTGTAATGATTATGAGAATGATGAAGATGATGAAAATGATGAACAAGATGAAAAAGATGATTCTTTATGAATAAAATGGTGAAGACGAAGGGAAGAGGAGGATAAAATTTTTGACATTTTCAAACGCCTACGTCAATATTAGAGATACTTTTTTTCACTTCTTATATTTACTCATTTCATTTTCAACAGTTAAATAACTTGCACAGTTCAATTGATTTTCATATCATTTCCATTGTTGATGCTTTAACCTTTCAACTTTCACTGCATTTCATTTTAATAATAGAAAACATTCTTTCTCTTTCAATTTCAATATTTCATTGGACATCAACTTGTTACAACAGCAAACCGCATCAAGTTACCCGAAACCAGGTTAAATAAACTCATTGTTATCTCATGAATTGGTCAACCTTTAAGGTTAATCTGCTCAAAATTTCATAAATTAACTGGAAAATTCTCAAGTCAATTTTTCAAAAGGAAGACAATTTCTTGCTTAGAATTGTCAAGTTGAATGAAAAATACTTCAGAGTTTTACTCAACAAGCTTGTCATAATTATTGAAGTTACAGTGTAAAGTATCTTAAATTTATTCATCAAAATATCGATATTTGAAGAAAATTCCAGTTCATTTTGAAGAGTTGAAAGTCAGAGAATCGACTCAATATCAATCGATTGTGAGAAAAGGTTTGAAACTGAAAATTGCTCCAATTGAAACGGATTGTGATGCAAATAAGTCAACCTTCAATCAAAAGGTTTGTCAATCTTTCATCAGATATTAAAGGTTAACCTTTACAAATGTCTAGCCTTTGATTCATCACCAAAAGTTGATTAGGACAAAATGACTTTAGTCATCAATTTGTCACCCATTTCACCAAAAACAATAGTTTCATGTCTGGACAGTTTTTTTCAACTTTCTGAACTTGAAAAGCTCTAAAGTCAACGCATTAGTTTTTATTAAACTTAAAAGCAACAGTTTCCATTAGCTTTTATTGTTTTCCCTTTTCATATCTAATTATTAATGTTGAGCAAAATTGAACCAAGATGAAGCCTCTTGTAAATTGAATAATTTTCATGTTAGTTAAACATTAATGCTGATAAATAGTTGAACCTTTCTTGATTAACTAAATCAAATTACGTTAACAATTCATCTTGTTTCCTTTCAATGTTTCATCTTTTTACGGTTCATATCGTAGGCGTCTTTATCCATCAAAAGTTAACATTGATATTTTTTCACCATTATGTGATTACCTAGTCAACATTGATACCGGAAGGTTTAACATGATTATAATAATCAACGAACACATCATGATGTCAGTTAACAAGCTCTAGAATCTAGAGATTGATCGCCCATGTTTTTGGTGAATAGGGAAAAGAGTTGAATTTTGTTTCCAAAAAGTGGCAAAATGATGGTTATTGTTGCTCATCGCTGTTGTTGACTCAAGTTGGTTGAAAATTTCAATTTCATGGTTAACTGATGAAAGGTAACCAAATTCATGGTTGATAGATTTTTCCATGAACATGATTGTAGGTAAAGAAAGAGAAATTAAGAGGATGATGAAGATAAGAGGGAAAAACAAATGAAAAAAGCCATTGCCTTGAGCTATTAAGACTTCCGTAAACATTGTAATCTTTAAATAGTAACTCAATATTGATATTTGTGAACATTTGATCCGGAAAAGATTCAAATATTGAAATTGTTCACCAGTTTACAGAGTAATTAGTTTTTTCCCTCAAATTTTTCTCAACAAAATATTAATCAATTTAATGTTGTGATTTGGAAGGAAAAGACGACATTTTTTCTGAGCTTGACTTTAATCTATTTTCATTGAGATGGAGACAACAGAAGCTTCATCGTCAGAGTCATCATCATCAATCTGATCAAAACAGTAGTCATGAACATTGTAACAGTAATTATCATGAGAATAGAGAAGAAAAGATCTCTTCTTGGAATTAAAGGAAAACTGGTGAAACAATAATGTTGAGATGATATTGAATCACTATTAAAAGTGTTGACATGATATGAAAGATATTCATCATCATTAAGGTTTCCTCGTCTTAATTAACCATAACTGTGTCAGGCTCATTCGATAAACTAATTGTTTCATTTTCACTCAATTATTCTCATCCATCGAATCCACTAAATGTCACTAATTTGGGTAAAATATTGAAACCTTTTTCCTTAAAAATTGTAACTTCAAGTTGATACTGGAAATCAAATTGAGTTTATGAAAAAATCTAACTCAATTTGATTCGTATTTTCATGTTTTCTTTTTATGGAATTTAATCGATTTTCTCTTTTTGGTACAGTTCTGATTGGAGCCTTTTCGACGATGGTTACACTTATATTTTCACCGATCATCATTGCCCTTTGTCGACGTAAAAGCATTCGACTTACAGCGGTTGTTGGTGGACTGGTGACTGCTCTTGGTTGCTTGTTTACTTCTTTTGCTACTCAATTTCATCAATTGCTCATCAGCTATGGACTCTTCATTGGAATCGGTGTTTCCATGTTGAGAGATACTTCTGTGATAATGATTGGACAATATTTTAAAAAGAGACGAGAATTTGTTGAAATATTTGTCAATACTGGTAATGGTCTTGGAATCGCTTTGATGCCAATCTTTCTTTCCTTTTGCATCAAGTAATTGTTTTATCTTTCATTACATTTGCTCCTTTAAATATCAACTTGTGCCTTTGATGCTTTTTTTGGTTTGATTCGCAAAATATTACAGAATCTGGTAAAGAAAAAGATCGATCATCGATCAATTGAAAGGTTACTTTTTCCATTGAATTTGAAATCAGAGAAATTTACTGTTGATTCAGAATAAAATAAAATCTTTAAAATGTATTTCCAGTCAACCAGCTTTTAGCTTTCAAAATGAATGGAAACATTTTCAAGTTTAATTTTGTTATAATCTTTCAGTAAATGTTGATCCATTTTGGAGCAAATTGGATTCTTTGGGTGAAAATGGATGAAAGGAAAGGCATTATTTCAACCAGTTGATGGATAAACATTTTATCCAAACTGAATAATTGAAATGGACATTAATCCTTTAACCAGATTTGGTCATGAAACTGGGCGATATTGGACAGTTGCAACTGTTATTGACTCTAATTTTCAATCCATTAACTATTCAATAGCATCTTTGATACATTTTGCTTGCTTTCAATACTATTTATCAAACTTCCGTTCATGACTTTTCCCTTCTCATCTCATTATATATTTAAGGGGCAAAAAAAGCATGAAATGTTGAGAGAAAATGTTGCCAGATGAGAAAAGATGACTAAAGTGAGGAGAAAATGTGAAATGGAGAAAAAAAGTGACTCCAGTGTTTACCATGAAACAAAATAATGACATTAAAAGCCAAAGAAAATGTTGAACATGAAAAAGAAGAAAAAGAAACGAAATTTCCGTTTCAAGTCAACAATCATTAGTAACGTTACAAAAATGGTGAAACATTATGTCAGGCAAGAATGAAAAATCATAACAATGTTGGATGAAGACAGGAATGAAATTATCTTAAAAATTATGATTTAGTCAAGACATTACAATGTAAGCTTAAACAGTATTTTCAACCCTTTTCCTTGTTTCTTGCCTTTGCGCTCATTTTTACATTTCAATTGATTCCAATCAATTATAGTTGATCATTTGTTTCACCCAATATCATTTGTCATTCAGCTGAGCTTTCATTTTCAATCTTATTGCTAATTCAATCCATTCAATTGAGATGTTAACACTTGATCAACTTAAATAAGGTTAATATTGCATCCAATAATTAATCCAATTGGTTTCATCTAGATTATCATTTCCTCTGTAAAAACATGCTTACAATGAGATGTAATGAGCTTTAATCAGTCCGACCTCAATTGACAAATGTTGGTTATCCAGTAAACTTGAGGTCAATCTCATTGAACATCAACTAACATTTCCTTTTCATCCCACAATTATCCTTTTAATTGTATTCTCGTAATTGTCGTTAACTAATCAGCCTTCAATTCAAACCTCTAAAGCTTTTCCCATTGAAACAAGCTTTTCAATAGCATCTAATTGTAGCCATAAATGCTTGTTAAATGTAGAGATTTACCCAAAACCCAAAATTTAACCCAATGTTTAGCTTTTCAAATTCACAAGATTTTCAATGAACTTGAGTGAACCTTTTAAATGATATTATTTTGAGTTAATTTTAGTGTGATATTGATTCATCTGGATGTTTAGGTTCAAGAAATTAATGAAATCTTTTTTTGTTTCTTCTATGATTATGGTCAATAAGCCCTTTTGTGACCGTCAGTCAGCATTTTGCTTTTTACACGCAAATCTTGTGTGTTTAATGATGATTAAATGATTGATGATTTATTAAATGGCTTTTCATTTAGTCTTTCAATCTCTATTGTTCTGACTGGAGAAACAAAAGAGACTTGAAAATGACTTCAATTTTTGCCTTTAAAGTCTTGCAATTGTTAAAATTCACATCTTTTTCACTATCATCTTCTTGATCATCTTTTTTCACCACTTTTTCAGTTGCTAATTTGGGTCATTATTTTTGTTTTACTTTTGTTTCACTGTTTCATTACTATGTTTGGTTGCCATTTAATTGTAATCATTTCAAGAATTTAATCATCAACAGAATAAATAACGATTCAATCAAGTATATCCAGGCATTTGTTCCTATTTTAACATCAATTTGTACCCTTCAATTGGCCATTGATTGTTGAAAGATTAAAGACTTGTTTCAATCAAACTAATGAATGGCAAAGAGTGAAAACACAAAATTCAATTGGAAAAAGATGATTTATTAATAATGATTAAAAGTAAAAGCCTTTCAAATGATTTTAAATATAAACATGATTTTTCTTTATAAATTGCCAAAACTATTGAACTGAATCTGCAAATTTTGCATAATTTTGCTTGTCTTTTCATTGTAAACAAGATTTAATTTTTTCAATTTCTTTTTCATTTCTGCTCTCAAAAAAGGTCTCAAAGTTGGAGAACTGGTTTCCAATCGTTGGCTTTAGTAGCATTTATCAATTTTTTCATTGGAGTTTTGTATCGTCCAGCATCACTTTATCATCCTCAACGTCGAGCCATTTTACACTTGAAAAGTTTACAAAAAAAGTCTCGTCATCGTGAAGCTGCCCAAGGTTTATACAATGGCAACCTTAATGCAAACATTAATGGTAAAACTGGTCAAAGTATTAATAACAATAATGCCAATAACAACTTAATGAATAACCTCAACAACTCTAATCAACACCATAATGTACATTCAACAGCCACCAATGGTTTAGGTCCAAGTGCAGGTTCAGTCAGTGGACATCATAAACCTGCTTATTTTGATTTTTCAATCCTCAAGTCAAAAACAATCAGAATCTTACTCAGTGGAACTTGCATTTCAGCCTTTGGTCTTTGGACTCCAATATTTTTACTGGTAAGTATTTCAATCTAATGGAAACAATTTGAATGGATTCTTCAAGATTCACAATTTAACCAGAAAAATGTTAACCATTTCTGGTTAAGACAATTCTGGTAACAAATTATGAATGTTTACCTAAAGAACCAAATCATTTAGAGGAAAGGTTGAAAGGTTTTACTTGCTTAGTCAATGAGAAATGTCATTTTTTGGTTTTTAGGTGAAGAGCTTTTCTGATTGAAAAACAAATATCGACTTTGAATAGTAAATCAATTGATTGTTTACAGAGTCGATTGGATGGAAAATTTAATGAAAATTTTGATCACTTCATCTTCTCTAAGTAATCAGACTTTTCCATCAACCAATTTTCACTGAACTTTCTACAGGTGTGGAGGTGGAAGATTGAAAGTTGAACTGACAAACACGACACTTTTAGCTCTTTAGATGTATTCGTTGAAAAGTGAATGATTTAATTTTAATTTAAATTTCGATTTCAATTTTGAAAGGTTTTTCTGTTCACAGTAATTTTTAAAATTGTCAATGGCTTTTATTTGACATTTTGTTGCATTGGATGATTGAATAATCATTGTTGCCTTTTTAACTGTTCACTGAAAGTTGATTGAAAATTGAAAATGAATTGGAATCAGTTTTTTAACGCGATTTGTTAAATCTCTAAAGTGATTACAATGAATTTAAAATCATGTTTATTCTGAGATAAAATTGTATGTCCAAGAAAAGCCAAAACTTGCAGCCATTTCAGGGTAAAAATGATAATCGACTTTTTTGTTTCATTCAATCAATTGCATCTTCAAATGGATTTCAAGTTATCACTTTTATCTCAAGATATTGATTATAAGATGAACAAGATTCTCATTTTTTATCTTTTACCATGAAACTGGCTCATCATCATTTCAACAATCATTCAACTATTCATCAATTTGTTTCATTTAAACCTTAAAGTTATTTTTTGGGGATTTCAGGGCAAAAAAAACAATAAATGGTTCGATTGAGAAGAAAATGCTTTGTTCTCATGACAAATGATAATTTCAAGTTTTATTTTCATAGATTAATAGTTGTAAAAGTGTTTAAATTGTCATTAATGATGCTATTTGAGATTGATGCGATTCTTTTCCAACATTGGATTTAAATTAATTTCAACTTGTGTTTGTCAACTTAAATTCACTTTGAATTGTACATTTAATGTCAATGTTTACTTCATTACATTTAAAGCTATTCGATAGGATATCAATTAGTTAATCAAAGTTCAGCAAATTAGTGACAGCTTTTAATTAAACTTTGATTGAGATTCTGTTGTTTGCCTTGATTTGCATAAACTTTACATTTCATTTTGAAATTATACAAGCCTTTAGCGTCTTTGCAATTTAAGATTCAATAGTTGAAAGGTTTTTGTCTTTTCCAAGCAATTAAATTGTCCGATCATTTCTCGATAGTTAATCAGTTGAAAGAGTTTAATCAATTGAATGTTTAGACAAACGTTTGGCAGGTTAACTGGTTTAAAAAGTCAAATGGCGCTCAGCTTTCAAAAGTGCTTCATTTAGTTTTGCTGATTGGTGAAAATCAATTGATAAACTTGACAAAAAAGATGCTCAAGATAAAGGTGATCAGGACAAAAGATGTAATTAGCAGAAGCAAACAAAATGATATTATTTGCATAATTCCGAAATAAATTGATCTTGAGACAGGTGAATGTGTATTGACACGCGGCACTTCGATCGACTGTTGATAAGACTGTAAATGATAGACAGCAAAATTGCCCTTTAACTGTGCACATGTAAAAGATGATGATAATGGTGGTGATGATTAAGCCATGACCTTTAGACATTCATCAGGCTTTCAGTTAGCATTCTTTGTACACAGCGTTTGCCACCATCTTTGCCATCATCTTTACCGTTCATTATTGTTTTCATCTTATCCAATATGTTCAGTCGATCAAGGTTATGTAAGGTGAAAGCGTGTGCTGTGTGTTTGTCTTGATTGCTCGGTTGAGTTTAACTGTTAATTAAAGGAGCCAACAAAGTAAAACCAAATTGAAAGCTCAAAATAATCTGAAAGAAAAAAAAGAAGATGAAAATTACAAATAATGAAAATGCTTACTCTTCAATTTTAAACATAATTAAATAGATCAATGGACCAAGTTAATTGACAAACAATTGGCTTATCATCATTTTCAGAATCATTAGCATCTTCATCAATAAACTCAATTTTGGGACTTAATTATTTTAAAGAGCATCAAATGATTAGCCAAAATTATAAAACAAACTTAACCTTTATCTACTATCGTCTATTGTAATATGAAGATGAAAAAATTCAAGATTCATGTAGCAGCTTCCAATGCGTTATACAACTCGTTTAACATTTACAATTATTAATAGTTGGCGCAAGTGTTGATTTTGTTTTTGTCGTTGCTTCTGGTGTTGTTTGAATTTGTCTAATTAACCGAGAATCGGTTTAATAATGAATTGGCTTTAATTAAGGAGAAAGCTCATCTTTTCAGACTTTCTTCTACTCCAATTAAAGTTAATCAAATACGCTCTTTTAAATAATGTCGAGGTTCAGTTTACTAATCATCAGCGTCACCTAATGTTTCACCTGTCTGATTATGATGAAATAATTAAGATCAATTAATTGACTAATTGGGTTTGTTGTTTTGCTTTCAATCTTTTGTTTTCAGGCTTATCATGGTGAAAAGGCAGGAATGGCTTATTCTGCACTTTTAGGTTTACAAACATTTCTGGGCCTTGGAATTGTTCTTGGTACTGTTGCCTTTGGCCTGATTGTTGTTAAAAATAGTGTCGATTGTATGATTGCACGCCAATATTTATGTCAAGCGTCGTCATTGATGATCAGCGCTTCACTTTTGGCTTTCTCAGCCCTTGACGATTATTCGGGCTATCTGTTGTTTGTTTGGATTTACGGTTTCTTTCTTGGTGGTTACACTTATTCACTCAAAATGTACGTCTATGAAAAGGTTAAAGCACGTAATTTCAATCGAGCCTGGAGTTTTGTCCAATGTATCCAATCGGTACCTATAATGGTTGGTGTACCGATAACAGGTAAATGATTCTCTTCTCAAAACAATTATTATCCTTTAATGTCATTGTCAACCTTTGAAAGCATAGTATCATTGTTGGTGCAATATTAATGGTCATCAAGGCATGATAATGAGTAAACTTGTACAAATACATCATATAAATGGAGTTAGAAAAGATATGGAAATATTCGCCATTGTGTTTGAGCAAGAATTGGGAAGATCACAGAATAACAGGATAAATTAATGTGTTTTATCTGGTTATAAATCAGCTTTTATTTGAGCTAATTATTTTATCTGAAAAAAAGATGAAAACACGAATTAATCGACATTCTGACTAATGAAGATGAAAGAAGTGATTACGAATGATTATATTGAGATGATCGACTTGCATCAAATTATTTTCGCTCATTTTCTGTTTTGTCCATTAAATATAATGTACATCGACCTAATCATATGCAGATATTTGATTTTGGCAAGTCTTTTAATTGTATTAAGATAGTTCATGAGAAAAAGAAAGATAAAGATTAACAGAGACAGTATTTCGATGGAACTAACATAGATAAATTGTAAGCAAATATTGCATCAAAAGGCAGCATTTGATCATAAAACTGTTTATTTACTCATCCCATAGGGCTTAACATTCAAGTTGAACATCTCAACACTATTAATTGTAGTCTCTCTTTGAAATTCTTGAAATTCATTGATAATTAGCGTAGTGATGAGGGTTATTATTATACTTTTATTTTCAACCATCTCAGGTTTATCAACAATGAGTTTATATTAAATTGAAACTTGAGCTTATAAATGGTTTAGACTTTAAACAAGTTGAATATCTTACCTTTAGTTATTTGCTTTTCACAGCCTTTTGTCCGCTTTTATCTAATTATCATATAATTATCATAATCTATTATCAGGTTTCATTTCTGAATATTATGGAAACAAGTCAGGATTTTTTTTATCCTCTTTTTGCACTGCCTTTGGAGCTTTAACATTATTCCTCATTGATGGGACCAAAAGACCGTATGACGATAAACACAAAATATCTGGCATGTCACCTGAAAGAACCTATGGGTTCACAGCACCTGGAGTAGCCTTAGATCAATACGAATCAAGTCCAATTCCATATGGTGGTCCAGACACTAGGATTTATATTGATCCACTAGTATTCACTGGAAGACCTTTAATTCCAGGTCCAAACGGGACTGAAAACTTAGCACAAGTTAATTTTACCGCACTTAAGGCTTTGTCAGCAGCAACAGCAATGTCTAATCAACATCCCCACATGACCCATTCCAGTCTATTAAGTCCTATTGGCTCAGGACGCACAGCGGTTGGACCTTGCGGTGAGCTGTATTCGACGATTAATCAACGTCCATGTGGACCAACTGTATTCAATGCTGCAGCTAGTCTAACTAGCAATGGTCAAACCACATCGACTTCTGTGAGTGGTACAACAACAGCAGCCGCCGCTGCTGCTGCTGCTGCAGCTGCTGTGGCCGCAGCTAGCGCTGAGTTGACTTGTATCTCGGAGGAAGTTTTCATGGAAAATTTACTTGACGAATATTGCCCTCCAGAATGCATCAATCCATGTTCTCGTCATGAAGATAAGTACTTGATATTATCTGACATCAATAAAGCACATCAACAAGATAAGTGTCGCTTAAATGATGCTACTCACAATAACGTGTCTTCCTTCGGTAAACATGCAGTTAGATCATCAGATTTAACTGGAAACTTTCACCACGATGTTCCACATAACGGTAGATTCACGTTTGCCTCTTGTTTGAACAGTGAGTTGAATGAATTTAATAGCAATTATCAATGTCGAGAAAATTCAAACACTAAATTGCAGCAAGTCCAGAGGCGAGCTTCGCTACCAATAATTAACAATACCAATACCGGATATTTAGGGGAATTAGGCATTGGTCAAAATGGGGAAGATTCATCTACAAATGATGAAGGACTAACAAATAAACTGGCCACTATGAAGGATAACATTGATGGTTTCATCGGAGATCTTTTGAACAGTAAAATGTCCTCTGCAGCAAAGATGCATTCAGAAAATCAAGTGCAGGATTGCTGTGACGTTACTAATTTAAATGACGGTGTACCAAGATGGCGTTCAGCTAGTGAATCAACTGGATACGTTGCCGATGAAGGTGGCTCAGATGATTCTGACTCTAACCATGATAGGTTAATAAATCGTTGCTCTGGCTGCCTTCGATTTGTCCATGAACAGTCGATTGGAAGAACAGAGAAGGTTGATTCACCGGAAACTCCTCTAATCAATAACCAACAATTCCAGCAACATCACTATCAACAGCATTCAAATCATTCCCAGCACCAAAATCAAGTACAGTCCTTTAATCAAACATTTGAACCTCCAACAGCTCCAATGGTTTTGAATTCAACCGCAAACTTAACACCAACAACAGCAACTGTATCACCCTCAGCGGCACCATCAGCAACAGAGACAAAAGTAAATTCCTTCATTGCACAAGAACTGACAAATGAAACAACAGCACATTTAACCACCAAAGAGCACAAAATTAATGAATATGATGTTAATGGTACATCAGGATTTAATGATGATTTGGCAAAAGAATAAAAGAAGCCTTAACTGTTACATTGCCATGTTTTTCAACTCTGACTGTTAATTGTTTATCCTCTCTTTTCACTCTCCAACTCTAACAATTTCTTCGATTAATCGATTAAAAGTGAAATCATCATTACCATAATCGTATTGATCTTTCAAGTGAACCAAAAGTTGTAATTGAAATTAATACGACTGCAAATCCTTTCATTACCAATCGACAATCATAAACAATCAAAAGAAGAGCCAAAAACTGTGATAGTCTGCAACTTATTGCACAGTTTAACTAAAGCCTTTGTTTTATTTTTCCTTTTCTTTTCTACCTCTTCAAATCATTTGTCGAGCTCATTTAATATTAAAAGATTTAACACATGTTTTAATTGAGTTAACATAAAAAATCCAATTCAAATGCCAAGAAATAATTCATTCCCATTTTTATTTACACTGTTTTTTTGTACCACCAACTCTGTAAAGTTCAATGGCATTAACATGTCTTGAGAAGACACAAAAAGCTGAATAATAAATATCCATACCTTTCCAACATTTTTTACCATCAACATCTTACACCATTGAAATCATCTCTATCAAAGTCAATTATGTAATCATTGTCTTTTTAACCCTCTCTTTAAAATTGTTGTAAAACAAAAAAAAACGTAACTTGAAATGTAACTTTTGACAGTTTATTGAATAAATCAAATCTTTTGTATCTTCTGTTCATGGAGCAAATAGACTAGGTGTCAAAATGAAATATGATTATCATGTTGATAGCATTACTCCAGTCTTCATGAAAAAATAAAGATTATGGAAGAAGCATTAGTTGAAACTCGTCAGTTACCATATTGTTCAAGTGTTTTTAAATGGAATGGTAAATTTGATGAAATTGAATTCGTCTCGGTATTCGCAATGGTTAAGTATTAAAATAATCCAGAAAAAATATCAAAATCGATAAGAAGTGTTTGCAGGATAAGCTTAGTATCTTCACGAGAATTGTGGATAATAGATTTAGATCGAGTTAATCATCTAACCTATTCGATTCACATCACTTTCACAATGATAGACTTGAATTGATGCTATTTTAATATGATTTGAATCTTTCCAGACTTCCATTTAGTGGAATTGGTTGATCATGGATTTAATTTGAGGGATATTTTTCAATTGGAAGGGAAATTGCAAGCTTTGAAAATTTTCTGGTCAATTATTACAAAGAAATGATAGTTGGCTTGATTGTGTCTGGTTTAATGCTCGTTTATTGGTTTGTCAGAAAAATCAATGAAAATATTACAAATTTACGTTGATTGCTTAGAGGCCGATATTGAAATTAGATGGGAAAATCAATGGGAATGTCTGAATTGTCGTTTGAGGTTCTTTGTACCAAAAGTGTAACATCAATCTTATGTTGAAAATCAATGACTGTTGACTTAGAAAATAATTATTAGGACAAAAACAAAGAATAGTAAATTGAGATTTACAAGAATGAATACAATATATAATTAAGTCAAATGAAGTAAATGAAACTTGGTATTGTTTTACAAGTAATGAGTTGAGTATAATGTATATACAGTTAGAGTAATTTTTATAATAGAAGCTATAAAATAGGTTCAGGGTAAACTGTGCTTTATTACACATGCATTAATACAGTAAAACTGGGAAAATGATACAAAATTGTATAGACACGAGTTGAGTGATGTGTTGAGAGATCAATGATTGATTCCAATTGTAATTGATTGTTGTTGTTGTTGTTACATTGACTTTGTTTCGGTGCATTGGATTAGATTGAAATATTATTGATTAAAAAGGGGAAATGAGAAGAGTTTGATGCAAAATGAAACCAAAACCAAAATCAAAATGACTACCATTTAGTTGAATCAGTCCAAAAAAGAGGTTAAACTGTAGAGACGAAGAGGAAGAAGATGGATAAAAATGGGAATGAAGAAGATTGAGCTTTTTCCGATTTAGTGAGGAACCCATGAATATAGACACAGAGAGGAATGATAGAGAGAAGATGGAAGATAGAAAGATGAGAAGGAAAAGGGGAATGAATTTAATCTATGGTTCAATGGAAAAGCTGAAGATGTTGATAGCAAAGACATTGTTTTGTTGACTCTTTTCTTAGTCTGATTAAGTACAGACAAGTTTATGAGTTTCATGGCTCATTTGCTTTGATTTGCCTCCAGGTTCTTAATGATGATAATGATGGTGATGAAAGAGATGAGGGTGGCAGTGATCAACTTTTTATTCTGATGAGTGAATCATTTAATCAGCCATCGGTTGAAGAAGAAAGGAACAGTTTCGCTTTCATTTTTTTCTTCTTCAACTTTTTTTCTTCTCTGTTTTCTCTGTTTTCCATTTTGGGAACCACCAAATCTTCATTATCAATCCCTTTTGATACCAAAATTTGGCTGATAACATATTTAATTATACGACATTTTTAAATAGCTGCAAGTTTCGATCATGTTTTGTCTTCCTTCATTTCTTTTCTTCAATTCCTTTCTTCATCTTTGCTTTGTTATCGACTCCATTTATCCTATTCTTACTGTTGATGTTGGTATTGTCGTTTTGTGTTGATAAGTTTTTGTTAACTGCAGCTCTTTTTGTATCACTGAATCCAAGTTACATCCTCTTTTTTGTTTCATTATTCTGTTCCGTATTGAATAATATCATGGGAATCCATCTCAGAATAGTCAAAGTCTGTTGATGACAACACAATTAGAAAAAAAAGATGAACACACGTATTAATGGTAAGCAAATGGGGATTAAATCAAGAGTTAATCAATTTTAAAGTGAGAATGCAATATTTATCTTGTCAGAACGAAAAATAAAACCTGACTGCAGTTTGGATAAATCATAATATTATTTACAGTCGTCTTTGCCTTCCCTTTATCCGAGCATCACTCAATTGGTTCAAGATGAGAGAGGATTAAATGGAAACTCAAACAATCAAAGTGACATTCTGGATATGCTTTATTCCCTTAGGTAGCAATTTAAAGTCAAACGATTCCAATTATTGATGACGAATATAAAATGGAAATCAAGCACTCGAAATTGTTGTTCACATGATCAAGATATCTTCAATTGCGTAGTTTAAGTTAAAGATATGTAACCCTCTCATAATGTCATTTTTGTAGCACCAGCTAGGTGCGACAGTTTTCACAGGCAAGTCTTGAGCTTTAAATAAAATTCGTGAAAATATATTTCTCCTAAATATTGTGTCAAAATAACAAAAATAACTTGACATTATAACAATGTTTATATACTGATAGAAATTGGTTACTTTCTCTAGTAGATCAACTTTCATTTCAACCTAATTTGATCATTTAACTTGAGTTTTCACATCAGCCGTTCTATTATAAAAGATAAATTTGATCTCGATTTTTTTTCTTTTGTTAATCTTTTTGTATCATCGTTAAATGATCAAACTACTTATAACAGAAATTAAAGATAAAAATGAATTGATGATGTTTAGTTCCACTTTATCAAATACAGTGAAAACAGATGAATCTTGGCAACAGTAAATTTCAAGTTGAAGTTCAAATTAAATGGAAGGCAAAGAAGAGCTAAAGGTTTCTTTTTTCTTTGGTTTTATGGTTTCTCTCTTTCAAAAAAGCTAAAGTAGTTGGTGTTTAGTGGTATGATAAATGAAGGCTCACATTTTTTTAAGATGAAAATAATCAAAATGATGGTTGTAAGGGTAATGGTAATGTTAATGGTGATGGTTATTGCGATAGTGAAGTCTTTGGCCTGCTAATTTGAAGAAGGATTCATTGAGTATCTGCAACCAGTTTACCAGTTAACAGTTTTATCCTTGTTTAACGGTGCAATGAAGATGGATCAATTATCTGATTTAGCCCAAACCGCTGCAACCTCAGCTGAAATGTCACATGTATTATTTCCAATAGCGACTTGTAAGTAACCATTCATGCCCCACTGAGTTCCCCAAGTATTACGAATAATGTAATAAGGAATAGTGTCTAAAAAAGAGAAATTTAAAAAAATGAAAACAGAACCAAGAAAATTCATAAACTTCTAGTGTAAGTGGCTTGAGGAGAGTCCTGTTTGCATGAATTGTAAAGTACATTTAATAATGTCTTAGCTGGTTGAGGTAAATAACAGATGAGATACAGTGGGCAGGGTTTAGTTAACTTTTTGCTTGTGTGGATCGGCCAGCCGCGAAAGCTTTTAAGGCTCCGTCTACTCTTTGCTATCTTGGTGTTTTACCTACCCATAGGCACTAGGCTTTATGCAACCTAGCTGTTCATCAGGAAGGGAGCTTAGCCTGGGTAAACACTACTGTTTTTCGCCCTATCTTATAGAACTGGCGAGCTTCACACACTAACCTCAAGATTCTAACATATGAAGATTAGCAGTCTAATCGTCAATGCTAGCCAAGAGCTGACATTAAGTTAACCAAAAAGGATCAGACTTAAGTTAATTTTTAGGTATCACCATGCCGAGCGTATTTAGTTTGTAGAGATAAGAAAAAAAGTATAGAGAAACTCATCTTCGATCTTTCATTTACTGTTGGAGGGTGACTATGAAAAATTTTTCGATTTAGTTAACTCAACCCTGGCCACTACTGTAACTGTTAATTCTTACCATTCAAGTTGTAACCAACAATTTGGACAGCATGGTTAGCATCATTGCCACAATTATCGTGAATAGTACCATTGATATAATATTGCCAGAAAGAAGCATCAGCTGCAGCCATTAGTGGACCATGGTTGGCCAACAATCGTACCATATTTTCCTCGTGACCAATTTCGCTAAACATGGAATAAGGCAAAAAAAGATCAGAAATACAAGAAAATGAACAGAAAATAAAAGGATACTTTAAGTAACAACTCTTTATTAGCGAGTCTTTACCATTCAGTTTCATAGATCACAGGTATTGTAAAACGTAATTATTTTTCTGTTTAAAATTTCCAAAATTGAATTTGTTAATTTACAAATAAAATATTGGGATACTCAGGGTGAGTTGATAATGGTATTGGTTAAATTGTTGAATTGTTATTGATATTCAACAATCAAAATGAAAGACTTACGAATGGCAAGTAAAGTTGGTATAAATTTGTACTCCTTTTGTAGGTTTAGGTTGAAGACAGTTACCCGAATGGAATTTGTACGGATATTCTTGGTCAGTCAATAAGGTTACATTATTTTGAGCCAGCCAAAGTAATCCTTGACAAAGATCACCTCCATCACATCCATAATTATTGTCTGAACAATCAAGCAATTGTTGAGCACTTAATTTGACATATTGGCCAGTATTTAAGGCAACCATCGATGATATTGTATCAACAATTGTATGAGCCCAACAAGATCCACATTTTCCTTGAGCAACAACATCACCAATAATTCCCTTTGTTCTCCAATCAACAGCAAGTGGCACATTAAGCATTTGCTTGAAATCCAAATTGTTCAAAATGGGTTTAGACTGAGTAAGGTCTAATCGTTGTTTATATACGTTTAACTTTCTTCCATTATATGGTGAGTTGATCACTGAAATTGAAAATATGTAACATAATATTAATTACTATTACTTTTCAATAAATAAAATTAATCTGGGCTTTCATACCCACTAACTCACCTTTTTTCTTAAACTCGCTAAGAGTTAAATCAGCGTATGGAGTCAACCCAAAAAAAGCACTGGTTGGATGTTTTCGATTGTTATTCAGAATGGTAATTTTTCCAAGAGCCCGCTGATAACAAATTAAAAAGACAATTTAAAGAATACCGTTGAAAATTCACATTTTTAGTAACAATTAATCATTACCTGAAAAATTTGAAACCGATGCCAATATTCATGAGAACCAAAGGTGTAACTTTTATTGTAAGCTTTGATAAACTTTCTAAATTGTTGCTCTTCGTGAATAAAATTGTGCGAAAATGTAAGTAAATAATAGACTAATTTGAAAATAGAAAACTTCATTATCAAGCAAATTAATTGTTGAATCAATTTCTAGATAATTGAATAAATTTTATGTAAAGTCTGATCTTTACGACACAGGGTAATTGAGTGATTTTCAAAAGCAATAAATAATAACAGCATTTTTTTGATAAATAACCGTTTTGTTGATTCATCAAAAAATAATCACTAAAGCTTGAACAGTCTAAAGGTTAAGTATTAATTTGAATGAATAGATAGCTGTTCAGTCATTAACTATTGGTGTATTTATCTAAATTTTTTAAAATTTTGTACCTAACGACAGTAAATGTCATTTTACAAAATATCTACCATCTTTGCAGCTAATTGTGTTAATACATGATGAACTTTGATTATTCGTTGAGCACATGTCTTCAATAAACCTTTGGTACAATCCACAATCACGGAGACTTTCAGCAGCGAAAATATTTTTACTTGATTCTTCTTTTACTTCTTGACAGTGTGAAGCAACTGAGGCGAAAGGACCACAATAATCATAATTAATAAGATTACATGAGAAATCCCCAACCGTTGATCGAAACAATTCACACAAATTGACAACCATATTTGGTAATATCGGTCCACAAAGTTCAATATTATACATTGATTTATCTAAAATACTATTCAGATTCAATTTTAAAAAATGAAGCTGGGCCCCTTCGAAGGCTACAGGAGCAAGTAATGTCGGAGGTATATTAGCAAGTGATCCATATTTTGATAAAACAATTTTAGAACTTGATAAAAATGGTATCAAATCTTGCACTTGTGCTCCTTTAACCATAACTAGAGTAGAATTCGTATTCTTTTTAGGTTTTCTGAAAGAAAAATAAAAATAAATCAGAATGAAACTTGAATATAAAGATGAGATAATCCTCACGTTTTGGTCCTTTGAGATTTTATAGATGACGATTCATTTGATAAATCAACTCCTAAGGTTTCCAAAAAGTTATTTGCGTCTTCTTCTTCGTCCATCGCACTAGAAGATTCCTCATCTGTCGCTTTCTCACATAAAGGCATAGAGAATTCAATTCCCTCTTCTTTTAGTAAATTTCTGAATCCATCAGTTGTCGGAGTTATCCAAACGTGTATCTCATCAACGCCTGCAACTCCAGAAGCTCGAAAGAGGGCCGTGAAAGAATATGCACAAAGATAAAAATATGCGACCTGTCGACATTTCATTAAATCGAATAAATCTTTTAAACTTGCACAATATTCATTTAAAAGATCTTCACTCATGGGTTTGCTTATTGGAGCTACTTTGCATCGATTATTAATTCTGGGAAACAAATCAAATCCAGGTAAATGCGGATGTCTCCAAACAAAACAGTGTTTTTTGAGTTTCGCCGTTGCACTGATTTCATCACCTGAACATCTAACAAAAGACGTTGTTCCATTTGCACTTTCGCTCGAGGAGAAATATCCTTTGTAAGGGAAAGGTTTATCCGACCAGAAACGCACTCTTGTTTTTAATGACCAATCAATAGGAATTGAAGCGAGGCCTTTGACACTTTTAACTAAAACAAAAAATTATTAGTACAAAACATAACAAAAACATGATAAACGTACCTGTTGGTGCTTCAAGGTTTGCATCTTCGGAAAGAGCACCCAAAGGTAAAGATGGTTTTTCATCGCCAAAAACCAAAGCTCTTTTAGGTGTTTTTCTTGGTGTCTTTCTCGGAGTTTTCTTGGGTGTTTTTCTGGGTGTACCTTTTCTTCTTGATGAACTTTGAGATACACTTTGATAGTTTTTCTCTGGTGTCGTAAAGATAATACTCCGTAATGGAGAAACGAAAAGCTTTTTCCTTGGGCCAGAGTCAGAATTTAATTTTCTCTTCTTCAATTGTTGAAACAAATCCGATGGTTTCAGTAAATTTGGTGATAGTTTACCAGGTGTTCTAGGTGTCATGATAAATAAATAAATAAATAAATCACAATTTTGAAAATAAAAAACAATGAATAAATAGTCATATGTTTACATTTTTCGCGGTATTTTCCCAGCAAGTAACACCATCTATTAACAAATTTTATAGTTAAGACTTTCCTACTTGTTGGCGGAAAAAATGATAAGAATGATGAGAGAAAAAGGAAGAAGAAGAGAAAATTTTACATTAATTTTAATATTATAAGTACCCATATGTGTTGGATATCAGTTACTTGATCAATAAGCAAAATGAGGAGCAAAAAGAAAAATGAAAAAAATGAAAAGGTAAAAAAATGTGAAAAAGATTCAGTGAAAAACTCTTGAGCAAAGGTCTTCTAAATGATAGTTTTCACCTTGAGGCTGAAACAAATTTACCAATTATTTGAAAGGCGCTTAAAGACGTGTGATAGCGATAAAGATAATGTAAGGTGTAACTTAGTAATCATTCTAAGTGCTATTAGTGAAAAAAGGAAGGTAAAAATTTACAGTTTGTTTGTGGTAAAATGTATAACTCATTTATCACTCACCATGCTTTAAACATGAGACGGATTAATACTGCTAATAAGGTACAAAACACACACAAATATATAAATGCTAATATGAATCAATCATTTTTTTGAAAAAATGTCAGTTTCAATAAATTGTTATCACTAGTTAAATCAATAAGGGCTTCAATAATATGAAGTCAGTAGATATGATGATGAACTCAACCAAAGTGTGAAGATAATAACGATGATGATGATAGCAGCAAAGTCAATTAGTTATCCATATTTTTAAGTTTCAATTTTTTAATCTTGAAATCTCTTTGATTCACTCAAACTCAATTAAGAATTGAGTTATAATGTTATCATCAACAGGCATTATTAATCGGAATATTGTTGAACACAGAAGGTAATAAGCCAATAGCCATTCATAGTCTTAATGTCAATAAGTCGTCTCCAATACTTTGATCGGTTGGTTGGTTGATTTTAATGTAAATTGATTGGAATTTTGTTTTCATCAATTAAATTAAACATTCAGCTATATCGATATCTAAACCACATCTGGACCATAACAAGGTTGTGTTAATTATTCAGGTGTTATCAGCCATTTTGAAAGGTTTTTTCGTCTCTCTCTCTCTCTCTTTCTTCCTTTTGCTTTCTGGACAAGACTGAAAAATAAGTAAACCAAATTATTAGGAATACATAAATGTTTGATAATTATGATTTACGAGTTTTAATCTTACTCTTTCCAGTTGATTCCATTAAATGAAGAATGATCACTTTCAAGATGTTATATGTGATGCCTAAGGTGTAATCATAATCGTAATCATCATCCCACCATGCTTTTTATGCTTTTAAAACGTGTAAATATCCTCATTTAACTTATTTTCAAGTCAATCATTTCTTCCTCGTTTTATAGGTATTCTTATTTGTATTGAAATTTCTTTCAAAGTTTCAAGATTCGTCTTCACCATCCCAATCAGCAGATAATTCGGTTAATTCAAGGCTTTTATCCCTATAAATGTAACACTCTTGACAAGTGTAAATATGACAATGTATCAAAAAAGGCAGCAAATCTGGAAGTAACAGGACAAGCTCATTGAGAAATGATTCCATCCAGATAACTTTAAACTTTGTACCAAACATTCAATAAAACTCGAAATCCAATCTTAATTCAATCTGCTGGTGTAATGTAGCATGAAATGATATTCAAAAGTCCAAAACAAAATGATCGGTCCAGACATCTCAATTACATTGCATCCCCAACAGAAGCTATAAAATTATAATAAATAAATAGACCAATCTTGGTCTATTAACTTAACGATTTGCAGTTACAAAAGCAAAAAAGCAACTCGTTATATCACAAAATAGGCCAGCAAGAAGGCAAAACGTACTTCTGATCAGCTCTTTTGAACGATTATTATAACACATTATTATAATAAAATGATATAACACAAGACATAAATCCAATTAAAGACTCATAAATATTTTAAAATTTAGATGAGATAATCTAGTACAAATAACTAAAATCACAATTAAAAAATGATGCATAAAACAATAAGTAAATAAACAAAACAAATTTGTGTCTTATTTTGAAACAAAAGAAAATAAAAATTATGGATTTGAAAAAATTGAGGGGTCGTTACTTAATTAAGCCTTCATAACATTAGAGTGAGCAATATGTTTAGATTACAATTGTAAATGCTAAGACATTAGCTACTTTAATAAATTGTTATATTTGATGAATTAAATATTGAGTGACTTTATTTAATTGACAGCAATAATATTACAATAAAACAAAGTAAATGAATATGGATAACAGTGTAAAGTTGATAATTTTGATTAGTTGATCTTAAGAAAATTGCTTCAACTTGACTTCCATATCCAATACAAGGAAAGAAGGAAAGAAATGTTCAACCCATTTCTTTACAGGAACCAAGGTAATCCCTGTAAAGGTAAGTCCGCCTTCCTCTTCATCCCACTTGTCTTCCCTGCTATTTTCATCTTTATCCTCCTCCTACTACTCATAAAAGGACTCACAATACGAATACACTTGATGAGTTTACATGGTAAAAAGCCTATTGAAAAAGGCGTATAGCAAGGAAACCTATCTCCTATTTTGCTCATTTGTTGTTGCTACTTGTTAGAGTTACATCTTTATAATTATGTTTAAATTTGAATTTGATAATTTAATACTAATAGCCACATTAATAATCGATTAATAGTATCACCGATGGTTAACTTGTTAGTAAAAAAACGAAATGTATAAACTAGACTTGACCTGACTTGGTAACAAGACTTGGCTAATGGTGATTTTCAATGAAAGGCTCATCCCACTAATGATACTTACTCCTCCCGATCTTCATCTTCATCTTCTTATTCTCATCTCTCATCATCTTTTTTTCACTCCTCTTTAGTCCTCACAGTTAACTATTATCTTAATCATTACAAATTCATTTATATCAATTTGTAAATTAACTCTGCAAATAGTTTCTCTGTTTTTTACTTCTCACCTTTACTTGTACCACTTAACATTTGATCATTGATTTTCACTCCATAATAATGTTTCTAATTTTGATTTATTTATGATTTATTTATTTCACTGACAATCAACTGAATCAACCATCAAACGAATCATCCAACAAATCATGTCCGTTGACAGTACTGACGATACCAATGGTGCCAATGCCAAGGTAACAATTGGATTCAGTGTTTCGGATATTTTAAAGCTTCCCTCAAATAAACAAAAGTCAGCCGATTATCCCGTTAAACCATATCAAGGATCGCCTTCAAATTCACCTCCACCTCAACCTTCATCTTCATCACCTTCCCATGAGATCGCAATTAAATCAGAGGAAAGTCCATCTTCATCATCAACTCCTTCAACTAGTAATTTCACTTCACCTTTATATTACTATGAAAATCCCTATTCAAGGTGGTTACCTCCAACTGAACATCTAATCTATTCAACCTCACTTCGTAAGTTGACCATTTGCATTCTTACATTCATTCTGACTCAACAATTTACTGACAATTGATTATCATTTATCTGTTGACAAGATCAGTAGTAACGCTTTTCAAGACATTGTAACTGATTGTCGCTAATTATCCTCGTAATTTGACGATTTAACTTTCCTCTTGGTTTCCCTTTTCCTCCATCATCAACATCCTCATCCTCACCCTGATCATATTTTTTGACATTTACACATTTTTTGGAAGCAAAAAGAGACCACAAAAGACTTAACTTTACTCACACTAAATACTTGAACCATTTACACCATTTAGTTAACTGTCCATTCCAATTTAGGTTTCACGGTTGGTCAGTTAAATTATACTCTGCTCAATATGATGGTCAAACAGTTGCAATGTAAACAAAAACATCAAATCTGTTGACAGATTTTCATGTTATGAAAATTTTCATTAACAAAAAACCGATTCTTCCAATGATGATAACCATTTATAACATGTCAATCCAAGTAGCCTTTGAGACAATCAAAAAAGAGTAGCAAACCTTTTGAAAAATATCTCATTTTACAGTCAAATTGTACCAATCGTTATAAAACATGTAAACAGCAATTTACAAATTTCAATGTTCCAATGGTGAAAATTTTGAATGCAACAATTAATGATGCTCGAAAACAAAGCTTACATTTGACTTTGGAAGCTCACTTTTTGACAGGTCAACAATCATTTCCATGTGAAAGCAAATTGCTAAAATTAATGATCGTTTAATTGTTGATCACAGAGTGGGAGGTAGCAAGTCCAGTAAATACAACCTTTCATCATGAAGGAAGAAAAAAGAAGCTTGAAAATGATCTCATTTTGACATTCATAATCCTCATCATTTTCCCATGTTACTCAACAATAATGGCTCTTTAAAGCAACCAAAGTGTAATCAAGTTAATGAAACAAATGAACCTTTCCTATTAACCGGAAAATTTATCATCATCATCATCACAGCGATCATGATGATCCACAAGATGATATGAAAATGAAACAAAAAAAGGCAAACAAATTGACAGCAGATTAACTAATCATGTTAACATGTTGACAACATCAACATTATGATGAATGTTTCTCGACTAATCCTTTTCTTATCCATCCCTAGCTTTAAAATATGTTCAATGAATAATGATAATTGTCAATAGATTGAGAGAAGGAAGAAGCAAAAAAATGAGAAATATCTTTCAACACATTAAAGATGAAAAATGAAATTCGAGTTCACATGAAGTCAAAATTTACCATTTCTTTTAATCTTGTTTTACTCTTCTCTTTGACAGATTGTCCAGAAGGAAAATGTCCACCAATCGATAGCAAAGTCAACCCTGTATCTTCATCATTATCATCATCTTCATTGTCCCTGTCAACCTCATCAACAACACCAAACTCATCGTCACCTCCATCATCTTCCTCGTCCATATCACCAAACCATCTTCAAGAGGTGAACCCACTCGCCCATCATCTTCCCCCGCCTCCGCCTCCACCTGTCCTTCACCATCACCATGATCATCACCGATCGCTGCACCATCATCACGGTCTCAATCGGTTTACCCAATCGTCATCTTCCTCTTCAACCTCATCCACTTCATCCATTTTAACCTCTGGTTCAAAGATTCGTAAAAAGCGAACTCGAGCCGCCTTCACTCACGCCCAAGTCTATGAGTTGGAGAAGCGATTCAGTTTACAAAAATATCTCTCTGGACCTGAACGATCCGATTTGGCGACTGCTTTGAAACTCACCGAAACTCAGGTTAAAATTTGGTTCCAAAATCGTCGCTATAAAACAAAGAGGAAAAATTTACAACAAGACTGTCTTGTCCATTCGACTTTAAATGGTCCACTCAATGGCTCAACAGTCCTTAGATCAACCGATTATCTATCATCAAATCATCCTCACTCGCATCACCATTTACCTCAACATGGTTTAACTTCATCTTCGTCACCAGCCACCTCTCATCATCCATTTTATTCAGCTTCAACCTTTCTTGGATCTTCAATCCAGTTTCTTGATATAAATCGTTTAATCACTGATATTTAATTTAACCTTAAATCAAACTAGCGCACTAAGTAATCAAAGTGTCAACACTTTTAATCAATGAATCATCTTCCAAAATAAACTGTGGAAAATGTTGAAAAGCCAACTTTTTTTGTCAAGAAACAAACCAATTTCTTGTTTACAATGAAAAACAAAACTCTTTTTTTTCGTGGGTAATAAATATTCAACTAAAGATGCTAATTATTTCAACGCTGCCAAATTATCACCTTCATACATCATCATCTCACTGTATATTGTAGATGAACAAGATCATTAATCATTAACCAGTTGATAGTCAACAGTATTTCAACTTAAATTATTATTTGTTTGTGCTTTTCATTGCAAAATTTACATTCTTTCTTGAAACAAAGTTATCACTATGATCAATATAGACTTGAACATCTTTCCAGCTTTCAAAGGCAAAGCAACCTGATGAGTCCTTTGTTACTTTGAGTCGACCGAAACTGTCACCACAATTTTAAACAAAAACCAGATCAACCCTTAAAACCCAGTCGCTATCGACTAATACTAATACTAATCAAAAATTAATCCAGTTATTGATCAAATTATTAGATAATCACTTGAGTCTTGGACCTTTTCTTGTCCGTAAAATTTTCAGTTCAGTTGCTACAAAATAACCTTAGAGAAGACCTGAAAATCTCTGAAATTGTTAAGACAATAGTTAAGACCAAACATGATTAAAACCATTAGAATCAACTAATCCATCAACGCTATCATTGAAATCGATACAGTTTTTCATTTTCGCCAGTTTCTTGTCATTTCGATTGAAGATGAATGTTTATCAAGATGAAAATTGAAACTAATTATCCAATTATCTTTGAATTTTAAGTCGACCTTTTTTGGAGATTGAGTTACCGGTGGACAATTTGATGACTTGTAACTCGATAACTCTATCGGATATTTTAATGGTGAAAAATATTTACCTGACTTTTTTTGCTCTCAATTGTCGCGTGTACTCAACTTGATCTTGTTGATAATTTATTCGTAAAAGTGTGACTTTGATATTGAAAAGGTTCCTTAAGTCAGGGCAAGGTTAACATTATGGTTGACAGTGATGAATTTAAAGGAATGAACATTTGAATGTTTATTAAAAACATTTAAATTCATCTGCTTAAGATGAAACTGTAAATGAATAGTTATTGACAAGTAACAATTTACATCAACATTAAAACATTTTACTCTATTGACTGTTGTGGGTTAACTCAAACAGTTCAACTTAAAACTGTCTTGGAGTTATTTTTATAAAAATATCAAACAAATGAGCAATAATTATTGACTGAAGATATCCAGAAGTTGATTTAAAAAAGGTTCACCACACTTACAATAATAGATTAGAATCAACTTTAACCATTGAACACAATTTAACATTTCAATTGTACAATTGGATTAAGATTGCAATTAGACGGAAGAGTTGAAAAAGTGCAGCTCTTTTGAATAGCTCATTGAGGTTGAAAATTGAAGCTCACAAAATTTAAATTCTAGTTCAACTTTGCTCTTTTCCAACCCAATTTGAGGTCAATTTTTTTGCCCATTTAAATTGTATAGAGTTAATGGACAGTATATTGATAATCTTAATGTGAGATAAATGGAGAAACGAAAAGGCCAAAAGGTCTTTGGTGGTCCTTTTTTTGCTTGCTCTACGTGTTTCATCTATTAGGCTTTATTCACTTGGTTTCGAGAGGTTTTCCGTTATTATCTTCCGGTGAACATCATCATCTTCTTGTGTCTTTATGTGAGTGTTTTTTGAAAGGAAACTTCAACCTTCTTCTGCACCAAATGTTTATGTTCAATGTTGTTATTAAAACACTTTTCATCTCATCAGTAGCAACCCTTGTTAGTGACTCTTAGGCAAACCTGGAATGAAGCCTTTTCAAGTCAACCTTCAACAACTCACTTGCATCTTTTCACTGCATTTACAAATCAATTATTTACATTCAAGAAGAAGAAACTTTCTCTGATTTTCATCCGGTTGAGTGGTTCAATTGACCCAAACAAATGGACAACCATTTTTACCATCTCAATAGCACATAATCAAGAGTTGACCATTCAAGTCCACACCACTTTAAGAAAAAAAAGTGAACAGAAAAGGGTTGAGACAAGAAACTCATTACAAGGTGATGATGGACTGCATTTTATTTGGAAACAACAAAGACACTCAATTGGTAATTGCCAGTTGAATGGTTTAAATTGTCAAAAACATTTGCGCAAAGTTCAATGAATGGACATTAATTGTCGAATCGCAAATCACTTTTTACTCTCTTTACGGAAGTTCAATTGGAAGCAAATTAAATGAGCCAATTTTAATCATTTCCCGTTTTGTAGACTTGAAAACAATTGCAATTGCTTTGATTGTTGAACTTGTATTAAGCGTGAGTCGAGATTGAACAGACCAAAAATGATCGGAAGTTTATCTTAACACAGAAAAGTTTCATAACAGTAAATTAAAGTAATAATAACATTGTTTTCCGGTTCAATATTAACTGTCAATAAATATCAGTGTTGAATGTTAAGTACTGATGAACGTTGTTTATTGAGCCCAAACAACAACAAATGCGCACAAATTAAACCTTTATTTTGGTAAATGATAAACTTGCATGTGTTAGTGAATCTAATGAACATGAAAGTTTAAGCAAAAAAACCGCAATTTAAACCTCAAAAGAAGAAAAAAAAACTTGTTTATTTTGATTGCCAACGATTAATGATATAACGATGCTCATATCATGTTAATAGTGTTAAATTGTAAACAAAAGTGCTAAGTTAAACTGTGAAATTTTTTTCTTCTTTTCTCTCTTTTTCAACCCAATTTTATATACATTCATGATTCATGAACACAAATCATGATGAAAAGTTATTCAAGTTGTCAAAATTTATTCTCATGGAACAGCAAATTTTTCATGTTCATTTTGATAAATAGCCTGCAAATATAGGAAGAGATTCATTTGGGCAAAAGATTCAGATTATTCAATAAAATATTGGTTTTATAAAGTTCATGATTACTCAATGAATCATGGGAATCGAAATCAATGTTCAGTCAGATTATTCTTGTAACACAGTGGGTAAAAGGTTTTCAGACAAATCTCTCTATTCGGTCACAACATATTGTTACACAAAAATATCATGAATGCTGAAGAATGCAAAAATTTCTTGAAGTTGATGACTCAAAGTTTTGTAAGATTCGCCAAAATCGAGATAACAATCGAAAAACGAAAATGTCTTATTTTTAGCATTTCACAATGAGTTTTATCGGTTAAATGAGTTTCGTTTTTTATCATTTCTTTTTTATTAACATTGTCATTTCTCGAAGCGAATGTCTTTAGTTCAAAGCCCAGTTGAAGAAGAACGGATTTTTTTCGAAAATAAGATCATTTTTGTTTGATGAAGAATATGGCATTTTGAGGGAATTTTGAATATTTGCGATTTTATCGAAAGCTATTCATCAGAAAATCTCTCGACTTTAAGGGCTTTACAAACATGCCAAGCTTCAACTGCAAACTCGAATGGTTTTGCATTTAATCTTTTTTAATCTTGGCCATTGAATTTCGAAATTGAATCGATCGAGAAACTTTTTTCACTTCAACACAATTTGAGTCGAAATTACAAAGGACAACTTGAATGAAGGCAAGTTCAATACATGAGTATAGATGAGTTTGGGCGATGAATTTTGTTTCAATTTTATAGGCATTTTTTGTTGATTTTGTTTCTTCATTTGCACTTCATTTTGATTGTCATGAAAGTCAATAATAGAGGCAAAGTAAAAGTGTACACAAATAAGACTAAAGGTTGATTTATAAAAACAGGTAAATTGAATTGTTGATGTAAATGGTTAATGGTAATCCATTAGTCGATTGAGTTTTGTTTTGTGTTTGGTTCCATTGAAACTGGACAAACTGAGGTTGATCAACTTACGAGTTAAGCTTTTAATTATATTTATTGATGGATAATCAAACGGTCTTATAATAATGTAAAAGGATTAAGAAGCCATTGAGAATCAATTGATTGTAAAGATGATCAGTGGCGATGGCAAAGAAATTATTGAAAGTAAAGTAAATTGTTATCGATATTATTAGATTTGTAAAGGTAAACAATAATCACAATGATCATGTGGGAGGCTGATAGTCTTAGCTCTTGAACCGCTTTTTACCTTTCAAAAGGTCTGCACAAAGTGCCTCTCATTGACCCTGTACATTAGCCTTTTGTGTGTCCAGTTTTTTGGCTTTTTTACTTTCTCTTCCCATTCATTGATCCATTACAGGCAGTGATGAAAAACAAAACAAAAGCAAGCTCAATATTCAATAGCAATCGATGGCAAAATGTTTAATCCTTTTAACGGAGACACACTTATTCGGCATTTAATAGCTAATAATAGTTGAGTAGTTGGATTAAGATTAACAGTAAACTCTCATTTAATTACTACTTTGCACCATTCGAGTTTCGGGTTCAGTTTGCTTTTCATAATGTTCAATTCGAGCGAATCGATTAGTGTAAATTAAAAGTGTTTTGTTTCACTTTTTATTGATTATTCAACGATTTTATTCTTGGGTCATTTATTGATCATAAAGCTCATGTTTGAGAAAATGGAATTTTTTTGTATTCTTTTTCAGTTGAATCTCTTTTGGAAACTTGAATGAGTTTGAAATGGATTTGTTGATGTTCATTTTTTAATTGTTGAGTTAAACAAATTTATCTGTTGCTGGTGTGAACATGTTGGGTGTTGAAACGATTAAACTTAAGCTTGTTCATTCATCATCATGGATCTCATGTTGAGCTGTAAATTGGCTTCATGTTGAATCAAAATTATTCAAATGTTTTGTCTGAAAAAAAGAGAATTTAAAAATTGAATTTACTCTATTATTTAATGGTAATCAAGGGAACAATTTGAAATGATTTTTGATTAATTAATGGCTGTTAGATGGAGAGTGTGAGAGGCAACATTGTTTGGGTTAAATGTTGGCCACCCATTATCGAGTAAAGTGTTGACTTGAATTTACAATATTTTTGGTTCGTCTAGTTGGACCCTTTAACTGTATCAAAGAGGCTTTCCTTGTTTAAAACATTGTTAAACAATTTGTTCAACTTTCACAGTTTGATTTTTTTCGCAGTTTTCCCTTTCACTGGTAAAGCAGACCAAAAACACGAATCAAACCCAAAGTTAGACTGGATTCACACTCACGTTATGATAAATAAACATTGTTGGGAAACTTATACGCTTTTGT